AGATCATTCACCTTATTGGCCCACTACATGTGCCTACTATTTTTCCAACCACCAGAGGAGACTGATAAAAACAGCATAAGGACCACCTTGTGAACCAGGTGTCGCCCTGTGTGAGCAGGAAACAGGTGGAACCATGGGCAGGTCCCTAGTCTTTCCAAGATCTACTTTCCAGGCATCGTATTACAGTAGGAATGTGTCTAGTGGGACCATTCTACACTTGTCTTTCAACGTCAGGAACACAACACAAAGCAATAAACTGTTGTCACTCATTCTTTAGGGCTGAGAGGGGCACTTAGTGGTGGCACGAAAATCATGTCACTTTGACTTTCCCCTACATGCATCCGATTCTCAACAGGTCTGTTTGCTTTAGTCTACATGGATGGGATTTCTAATATGTGTCCTAGAATTATGATAAGGCCAAAGCATGTAAATTTTATGGATGACATCTTCTGTAAACTCCAAATCTAATGCGATAGAGAAAAAAAAGGCGGGCCAAAAAAACAGATTCCATTTTTTAATCATAAACCTTGAATGATATGAGAAGAAATGATTGTGCTAGACTAAGTTTACTGTCAACTACTACAACATCCATTTGTCACTGAAACAACTTTGAAAAATAAAAGTTTTCAATGGGTTTGATTCAGTGGAAACATATATAAGGAATAAAATATATAAGGGAAAAATTAATGTGCATGCTGATGTCATCCATAAAATTACTTGCTGTGGTTTTATCATATAAACAAGTCATAATGCTATATTCATATTCAAGCCCAGATGACTCAGTTATTTGGCTGAGGTGACTTGGCTTTCCCACATTGAAAGATTGAGACAAGTCTTTCTGGGACTTGAACAAAACATACCTCAGGTCAGCCAAGACTGCACAGCTGGAACAGTTCATCCACTGGTACATCAGAGGGGTACAGTTCTTCTCTTGCTTTTAAATCTTTCAGGACTTGAAAAAAAAAATAAGAAAGAAAGAAAAAGTGTTAGAAATGGGGGGAAAAGTTCTTGAAACATGAGAGCTCACAAGATTATGGTATTTCACAAAATGGAACCTCTGTTATACACTGTTAGATTTACATACTTGTCTTGAAGAATTTACAGAATGATTAAGGGACAATGATATTCAAATTTCAAGGAAAAGGTGGATGAAGT